AGGAGGAGGAGGAGGAGGAGGAGGAGGAGGAAAAGTAGGCCGAGGAGCAGGAGGAGGAGGAGGAGGAGGAGGAAGAGGAGGGATGGCCCGAGACAGCTGCCCGGCTCTCGTCAGAGTGGCCGGACGCGCCTCGAGAAAGTCTGGTCGGAGGGTGCCCTGGGAGAGGTGTTTTGGGGGGTGGGGGGGCAGCGGCACCCTGACCTCCCAGGAGGGCTAAAACGTATAGCACCCGACGTGAAGACCTATCCCAAAGCTACCCAGATGGTCTGGTACCGGAAATTTTCGGTAGCGATTTCGACGCACCCCGAATTTCGGTAGCGACCGGATCTTCGTTTGAGGGCGTGGAAATAGCGGGTTTCAGAACGCTCTGATACCGGTACTGGGCGCTACATTTCGGTATTTCGGTAGCGACCGATCTCTGCGGAGCGCTACCGGAAATTTTCGGTAGCGGACCATCAGGGGAGGGCTAAAACATATAGCACCCGACGTAAAGACCTATCCCAAAGCTATTCTACGTCTCGGTTTCAGGCCGTTTCGCTCCGCTGTTTCAGGTTTTTGGGTCTCCAGTGCCAAAAGATGGCTCTCTGGGAGGTCAGGGTATCTCCATGTTCCCAGGGGCAGGGGAGGGCCGGCGGGGAGGAGTGGAGGCAGAGGGGGGGGGAAGGGGAATATGGGGAGAGGACGGGGGGCGCAGCGGGGCCGGAGGACGGTGGAGGAGCAGGGAGGACGGTGGGGCAGGCCGGTGGTGCGAGAGGGAGGATTTGAACGGGAGGGCTCCCCCCCCTCATTCAGGAGGGAACAAACACACAGACACAATTAATCGTCGATTCCCCAGAAAATATGAGAAACTATGGGAAGTGGGGGGAAGACAAACAAACAGAAAATATGCGAAAATATGGGGGATCCTGTTATTTGTGTGTATTTATTTGTGTGTCCCAGGGCCCCTTCACTCATCCCTCCCCCCATCTCTTTCATCATCCTTCTGCATCCGACCTCTTCCTACCTCCCCAGGCTTCTCCGACCCCCGCAGACTGCCGACGTTGCCCCCCCCCCCCCCCCCCCCCCCGCCCCATCACTCTTACCCTCAGCTGCGGGGGGGCGATGGCAGTCCTCATCAGCATCATCGACTCAATCATTTTCACCATCAATCTCTCTCAATCCTTTGTCTCATCCACCTTCCTTCCGCCCTTCCGGCTTCTGCGTCTCTACTCACCTCCTGCTCTATCCCTGCCTCTCTTCCTCGGAGGGGGAGCAGAGGAGAGGGGGGGGAGGGAGGAGGAGGAGGAAAGAGGAAAGAGAAAGGAGGAGGCGCCAAGATGAGGGAGAAGGAGGAGAAGGAGAAGGAGGGAGGGTGCAGGGAGGAGGAGGGAATGGGAGGGAGGGATGCCAGAAGAAGAGGAGGAGGAGAAGGAGAAGGAGGAGAAGGAGGAGAAGGAGGAGGAGGAGGAGAAGGAGGGGGCAGTGTGTGTGGGGCTTCACCAGGCAGACTTTCTCAGCCCCGCCGTTTTCCGCTGGAGGGGGAGAACCTCGAGCTGATGCGCGAGGCGATCTGATGACGAGCGCGATCCGCTCCTGTGGATGAGGGGAGGGGGGCCGGGAGGACGGGGTGGAGGAGATGTAGGGAAAGGCGGAGGAAAGAATATGACGGGGGATGGATGCGATGCAGAGGATGAGGAGGAGGAGGAGGAGGAGGAGGAGGAGGAGATGGAGGACGAGGAGAGCGGGAGGAGGACGAGGAGAACGGGTGGAAGGGGTAGGAGGATTGGATCAGAAAGGAGGGATGGTAAGACAGAAAGGCGGAGGATCAGCGCGGATTTGAATCAAACCGTCATTCAGTAGACCATGCTGACGTTGGTGACGCATTCATGCGTTGGTGGGGACAGGTTGGGAGGAGGCTGACATGTCGGAGACGCGCGCTGCAGCACTTTTTCCCTCCTCCCTCTCGCGTACAGCGAGCAGGCCTCCAGTAAACATAACAGCAGCGGACCAGCCTCAGGGCTCGGATCGACGTGGCCACCTTGTGTTACTTGGCTTCTGGCCAGGTCTGATCTGGTGCCAGGCTTCATGCGGCAGCTAATGATGCTGGTCGGGTCACGTGGCTACGCAGACGGACACGAGGGGGTGCAGTGGCACAGGCGAGGAGGAGGAGGAGGAGCAGCAGGAGGAGGAGGAGGAGAACGAGGAGGAGGAGGAGGAGGAGGAGGAGGAGGAGGAGGAGAAGGAGGAGAACGAGAAGGAAAGTGTATGGGGAGAAAGGGGAGTGATGACGGAGGGGGATGTAGGGAGACGAGGGAGGGGGAGGAGGGGCGAGAGAGGTATTGTAGGCCGAGGGCTTGGCGCGAGGCGCCCTCCGCTTGGCCTGCCCCGTGTGGAGAGGGCATCGCACCGGCAAGCATACTAGGAGGCAGCGGGCTCCGCAGACGAAACCATTGCGCGGCGCACGAGCCAGGCTCCGCGGACGGATATATGGCCTCAGCGCTGCACACACGAGAACGACCCACAGTGAACCCGCATAGCAAGAATGAGCAGCTTTCCAAGGCTGCCCTTGCATCCGTATCCGTGCCCCTTCGGCCCATCCTTGGCGACTTTCGCTGACCAACCTCGCTCGAAAAACGTGAACATGGGCCTCTTGCAAGGCCCTTGCACCCTTAGTTACACCGCGCATCCTCATTCTACGGCTTGACTGGAATGGCCCGAGGAGCTACAGTTTCCCAAGCAGTGCTCGCAGAAGGGGCTCTGGAATCATACAGTGGAGACCCATGCCATGAAACACCCTGCTCGCCTCCAGGGTGCCCTGGGTTTCTGGGGTTACGAGGGTTCTGCTATGGAACATCTGACGTTCCCACGCCAATAATCAATTGACACCCTGGGGTTCCAGGGTTCCCTGAGATCCGACTTAGCGAAAAAATGCAACATCGTGAAAATCCGCGCCCAGAGCCCCGGACCCCATCTTTTTGCATCATTTTTTGAGCCGGATCTACTGTGAGGGCCCCAGGACCCGAAAAAAAGCGAAAACGCCCGGCTCGAACAAATTGAGTCGCCAGGATCTCAGGGTTGGGCTTCTTGTGGAAAGTTTCTTGTGGTCGGGCCCCTCGTGTATGGCGAAGTGATTGGCGAGCCCTTCTGGGATTTTCTGCTCGCCCGCGGGCGCCTCAGCCTCAGCCTGCCTCGGCTTGCCTCAGCCTCAGCCTCAGCCTGCCTCGGCCTCAGCCTCAGCCTCAGCCTGCCTCAGCCTCAGCCTCAGCCTCTCAGCCTCAGCCTGCCTCGGCCTCAGCCTCAGCCTCAGCCTGCCTCAGCCTCAGCCTCAGCCTCTCAGCCTCAGCCTGCCTCGGCCTCAGCCTCAGCCTCAGCCTGCCTCAGCCTCAGCCTCAGCCTCTCAGCCTCAGCCTGCATCAGCCTCAGCTCGCCCGCGGGCGCCCGGGGGCCACCCCGTGCGCCGGCCGGCGCTCTTTCCGGGCGTGCTCGGCTGGCGCCTGCCGGCGGGGTCGTCTCGCCTCGAGCGGTGGTCCTGTGTCGGACTTGGCCAGGGCCGCAGGTCAGTCCTCCTCCTCCTCCTCCTCCTCCTCCTCCTCCTCCTCCTCCTCCTCCTGCTCCTCCTCCTCCTCCTCCCCCGCCTCCTCCTCCTCCTCCTCCTCCTCCTCCTCCTCCTCCTCCTCCAGGGTTGAGTCGGGCCTGTCCTTCGACAGGAGGAAAGATGCAAGCTGAGCCTGGCGACGAACCCGACCATATGTAGCAGTGAGCACCTCCATATATTCGCATCGTCTTTCGTGGAGCTCTCTCTATGGGGCCACGAAGCGCTGTACTGGGCGGGGGAAGCGCATGCGAACTGCGCCACTGGGACCTTCGGTGGAGCTCCCTATGGGGCCACGACGCGTTGTACTGGACGGAGGAACCACATGCGGACTGCGCCACTGGGACCCTCGGTGGAGCTCCCCCTGGGGCCACGAAACGCTGTACTGGTTGGGGGAACCGCATGCGGACTGCACCACTGGGACCTTCAGTCGAGCTCCCTCTGCGGCCACGAAACGCTGTACTGGCTGGGGGAACCGCATGCGGACTGCGCCACTGGGAACTTCGGAGGAGCTCCCTCTGGGGCCACGAAGCGCTGCACTGGGCGGAGGAACCGCATGCGGACTGTGCAACTGGGACCTTCGGTGGAGTTCCCTATGAAGTCACGAAACGCTGTGGAGCTCCCTATGGGGCCACGAAGCGCTGTACTGGGCGGGGAAAGCACATGCGGACTGCGCCACTGGGACCTTCGGTGGAGCTCCCTCTGGGGCCACGAAACGTTGTATTGGGCGGGGGGACCGCATACGGACTGCGCCACTGGGACCTTCGGTGGAGCGCCCTATGGGGCCACGAAGCGTTGTACTGGGTGGGTGAACCGCATGTGGACTGTGCCACGGGGACCTTCGGTGGAACTCCCTCTGGGGCCACGGAGCACTGCACTGGGTGGGGGAACCGCATGCGGACTGTGCCACTGGGACCTTCGGTAGAGCTCCCTCTGGGGCCACGAAGCGCTGTACTGATCGAGGGAACCGCATGTGGACTTGCGCCACTGGGGCCTTCGGTGGAGCTCCCAATGGGGCCACGAAAGGTTTGAGGGGTGTGCCAAATTGAGAGGTGTGACGGGAGGAGGGGGGAGGGGGAGGAGGAAGGAGGAGTTAAGTGCATATCAAGACGTCCGCCACAGCGGCGGGGGGTCGGAAACACAGGACGACGAGGCGCAGCAGGAAGCCGGGGATTCGAGCTCTGCCGAGTCCTGCACATCCGCCGTTCGCGGGCGACTCTTTGTGGTCGTTAGGTTGAGGCCTGGCACGGCTACCGTGAGCTGGACATGCGAAACATCGAGTCGCCACCAGGGGGCGGTCACCACAGAGCCGTTCTAGCCCTACAGAACCACACACACACACACACACACCTAACAGTCCAGGCCAGTGCTCCCCCTTTTCATACTCGCTTCTTCTTGTCCCCCTCCCTCCCTCCGCCTCCCCCCCTTGATGGGCCCGTTTTCCGCCACCACCACCATAAGTTGGAGGGGGAGGGGGTCCTCCTCCTCCTGCTCCTCCTCCTCCTCCTCCTCCTCCTCCTCCTCCTCCTCTTCGTCCTCCTCCTCCTCGTCCTCCTCCTCCTTCCCCCCTCCAACTTATGGTGGTGGTGGTGGAAAACAAGCCCATCACCCCTTTCATTCTCGCTTCGTCCTCCTTCTTGTCCCCCTCCCTTCTCCGCCCACGGAGGCCGCGGCCCAGTTTGTCGGCGAGCACGACTTTCGCAATTTCTGCAAGATTGACGTGGAGAACGTGTCGAATTTCAGGTTACCTCCTCCTCCTCCTCTCCTCCTCGTCCCCCTCGCCCTCCACCAGTCTCTCTCTCTCTCTTTCTCTTTCTCTCTCTCTCTATATATATCGTTCTCTTGTTCCCCACATCCTGAGTGGGGTTCTTGTTTTCCCAGAACACCCTCTCCTTCCCACCCACCTCCCGCTCCATCTTCCATACAGCACAATATTATTCCTACCACACACACCATACCATACCATAGTTCCTACCACCACATACCATACCATACATACCATACCATACCATACCACACCATACGTACCATACCGTACCATACCATACCATGGCGTACCATAGCATACCATACCATATCACACCAATGCCACACCGTACCATACCATACCATACCTCCAGTACCATACCATACCATATCATACCATACCGTACCATACCATACCTACCATACCATTCCATACCACTCCATACCGAAAACCATACTACTTACATGGTTTCGTGCCCCTCCCACCCCTCCAGGGAGGCCCCGCCTGAGCGAGGAGGGTATCGGAAACCATACTATTTACATGGTTTCGTGCCCCTCCCACCCCTCCAGGGAGGCCCCGCCTGAGCGAGGAGGGTATCGGAATACCATACTATTTACATGGTTTCGTGCCCCTCCCACCCCTCCAGGGAGGCCCCGCCTGAGCGAGGAGGGTATCGGAATACCATACTATTTACATGGTTTCGTGCCCCTCCCACCCCTCCAGGGAGGCCCCGCCTGAGCGAGGAGGGTATCGGAATACCATACTATTTACATGGTTTCGTGCCCCTCCCACCCTCCACGGAGGCCCGCCTGAGCGAGGAGGGTATCCGAAAACCATACTATTTACATTGTTTCGTGCCCCTCCCACCCCTCCAGGGAGGCCCCGCCTGAGCGAGGAGGGTATCGGACAGATTGTGTGGGAGGGGCAGGAAACCATGTAAATAGTATGGTTTTCGGATACCCTCCTCGCTGAGGCGGGGCCTCCCTGGAAGGGTGGGAGGGGCACGAAACCATGTAAATAGTATGGTTTTCCGATACCCTCCTCGCTCAGGCGGGGCCTCCCTGGAGGGGTGGGAGGGGCACGAAACCATGTAAATAGTATGGTTTTCGGATACCCTCCTCGCTCAGGCGGGGCCTCCCTGGAGGGGTGGGAAGGGCACGAAACCATGTAAATAGTATGGTTTTCCGATACCCTCCTCGCCAGGTCTCGTAGCCCTCCCCCCTTCCAGCGGGGCCCCGCCAAAGCGAGGAGGGCATCAAGAAAATGGGTCCCACGAAACCGTTAATCTCTTTATGTGGGGAACTCCGTTAGCATAATTTTTGTTTTCTCTCTCTCTCTCTCTCATTACCCATCTGTCTCTGTCCCTTTCCTCGTCGTTGTCTTCCTCCTCGGGCTAGCAGCTGAGCCGCAGAAGTGCAGCTACGCAAATGCACGGGGGAGACGAAGGACGAGCAGGAAGAGGCGATGACCAGCAGGCGAGGAATCAGGAGAAGGATCATGGGGCCGAGAAGGAGGAAAGGGGCGAGGACGAGGTCACGGAGGAGGACGAGGAGGAGACAAGACAAGAGAGGACATAGAAGTTGGAAGATACGTAGGCTGAGGAGGACCTAGAAACCCATTCACAGGCAGACAACCATAACGGAACGAGAAAGCGGATGATGAGAGCGTGAAGGAGTAGGACGTAGGCGGGACATTTGTTGTTGGCAGGACAGGTGGTTGGGCACGCCCATGTCGTGACTGCGCAGGGCTGCCTCTCGAGGCCTGCTTTGGGAGAGCTTCCTCTCTGCTCAGCCCGACCGCTCCTTTCACGTGAGGTCCCGAGTGCCCGCGTAGAGCCACCGCGTCGTGGAAGGAGAGGGAGGAGATGGACCGCCAGAGGAGAGGAGAGCGGGGTAGGAGGAGGAGGAGGAGGAGGAGGAGGAGGAGGAGGAGGAGGAGGACAGGGAGGCCCGGGGCACGGGGGATGCATGGCACGGGGGATGCGAGTCGCAGAGGTGGGCGAGGGCCCGGGGGGGGGCAGGGGAAGGGTGCGGGGCCAGGAGAGCGATGCTCACTCGGGAGGGGCGCTGGGCAGAGGGGGGGCGGGCTCTTCACACCACCTCTGTGCCCCCCCCCCTCTCTCTCTCTTCCTCAGCCTCCTCGCCTCATCCCCCTCCCCTTCCCCCTCCTCCCTCGCCTCCCTCCTCATGCTCCTCCCCTCCCTATACTCCTCTTCCCTCCGTCTCTCCCTCTCCCTCTCCGTCCTCCTTGCCATCTCTCCCGCACCCTGGGCGATCGTCGGCTCGATCGCCCTCCGCAGCCCCCCCCCCCCCCGGTGGGGCTGGAGGGGGCCGCCCCGCTCAAGGCGGAGGGTGTTGTCGGTGAGCGTCCGGCGGCAGCCTGGCGAGGCGGGGCCGCAGGGGGCAGCCTAAGGGGGAGGAGGATAGGGGGAGGGGAAGGAGGAGGAGGAGGAGGAGGAGGAGGAGGAGGAGGAGGAG